TGCTTCTATAGAAATCAGCTCAGGATGGATGAGGTGTTATAGTTATAGCATATAGTTGAAGCTTCTTGTCGTGGTTATATATATTTGGATTTGTTATGCAGCGTGTTTGTACACTTAGCTGCTCAACACGGAGCCAGGGCGACTGGGTAGACAATAGGTTCTGCACTGGCTGACGCTTAACACATACACAATCTAACAACATATATATAGAGAGGTGGATTATCATATGGCACAAGATAAGTTTCATACGTGGATGGGTCATGTATTTTCAAGGGGTTGCTGGGGAAGGCTCCGGGATGGTGCTCTCTAATTTGAAAACCACAGGAACGGAGAAAGATACCCGCGGCTATCGTTACCCTGACTTAGTCTACTTTACTTGTTAAAGCAATTAATGCAGAACACATTGGCATGATTTACATTTGAGTGAATATCGATCTCTCTCGGGCAATTCAATAACTCTTGTGCGGCTATGTTTTATATTCTCCGATCTGTTACAACTTGGCCGTGCTTCCATAGCTGTTGCTTGGTATCGGTCCCTCCTGTTGAGTTTTTCTCCTGTAAATATGCAATTATATAATATTATTATTATGTTGCTAATTAGGACCCTCTTTTTCCCTTTGCCGACATTCTTCCCATTATGTGTTGGGGTGGTTTGTTTGGAGGTCCTAGTGTGTATCAGGAAACGTACATCAGAAATATCCTGAAAGATGACGTCTATTCTCCGCGCATATGGTGTATTTTTGGTACTTGATGGTTAAATTCTTGAGTAACTCCTTACTCATGGGTTGTATTATACATTGTGTTTCAAGTTGGTATTTATTAAATTCATCACATTGTATTTTCTACGGATACATTTTGTGGGTGTGTGCATTAGAATGCAGTTCAAGAGTTTATTGCTTTGTTGTTGGGGTGTAATGTTCGCCCTTTGTCGGTTGTCTTTCATCCTGTTTGTCTTTTTTTTGAGAATGTATGTAAAAGGGAAATGGTGACGCAGCAGGAGGGGGCCCAACTTCTCTAACTGTTTCTTCTAAACACCCGGACCAGGAAACGCGTGGGAAAGCCTTTCTGCAGATTCCTAACCCTCCCCTGTTACACCGCCTGGTGCTCAGTCCAGGAAGAACGGGAGCATCTGAGCGAGAGGCATCTTGAGGAAACAAGCCATCCATCGGAGAAGCGCGTGAGCAAGGAGGGAATCTCCCCATAGAGCAGAAAAACTTTGAGGTAACCGAAATCCGCTTGTCACCTCACCGGGGTGATGAGGAGTAAGCCAGAGAGAACTAATTTACAGCCTCAGTCCACAACCGCCCCACAGATTGTATCCTACACAAATTTTTGTAAACCAGCCTTACGAGACAGTCGAAGAAGTGGGATCATCCGGACAGACTTCTCTGGCAGCATTGAGCCTGGGCAGGCAACATGGAGGGCGGTTAACGTAAAAAAACTGTCGCATTTGTATATACTAGCCCAACATTGGTAATAATAGCAGACTGGTTCAAAATCCGGCAAAAGTTTCCCTGTAAAAGTCCAGTGTTTTAACTTTTAGGAGATCCTAATTGCCCAGAGATGGAATATAAATTCTAGGTATGTTTTTCACTAGTGTTATCACCTGAATATAGGAATCCGCCAAAAAAAAAAAAATTTTTGTTTTGTACTTAGAATGAGCCATTTTAACCCCTCTAACAGACGACTGGGTCACCTCCCACGAAAGTCGCCAATGATTGAACCGGCCATGTCCCAGAACGGAGCAAACCAAACGCTGGTCTTCTCCCCATTCCCAGTCGGTTGTCAAATAAAGACATGAGCGAATGTTCAGTTAATATGATTGGACATTATTTGCCCTTTTTAACCCAAAAAGTTACCAGAGGAAATAACTCAGAAAAAAATAAACCCACATTTTAAACATAACAGATACAGAGGGATTCTGTTATTCTTTGTATTTACGGATGTATTCTCTAAAAGAAAATGAGATGAAGTTGATGAGGTATTTATTCGTGTTTTAGAAATGTGGCTGCCATGAACTAATCAGCAGATTTAGAGTTTAACTTTAATTTAATTTTTAGTTCATGATGGCTTTATTCCTTAATCACTGGTAAATTACTCGACGCAGCTCCTCCTCTCCTCCCTCCTCTCTTCTCTACGTTCTGCACACGTTAAGATACAGAGACCATTCCACAGGTTTGATGCAGTTATCCAACTGCAATTTATTTCTTAGGTAATTGAATGGAATTCAATCAGTGATCGAAATGAAATGGAAAACCTTGTTACACTTATTAGGCCGTTTGCTTTGGCAGATTGATACAGACATCCTGAATCTCTGTCTTAAAAAAAGAAACAATGTTTTCTCCAGTTTAAAACATAACAGTAGAAGAAGGGATGGCTAATAAAGTGCACTGGACACTTGGAGCAAACATTTAAAGTGTCTCTGAGCTTTTTTTAGTAAAAATGAGAACCAGTTGGAGCTCCAAAACTCTGTCGACGTAAACACCCGTGTTACTTGTACTGCCAGGGCATCAACACGCCAAGTAGCCAGTCCAGAAACTGCCTGTCCCGCTGGAACGCTTGGGGTAGGACACAGTCTCAAAACAAAAAACACCTCACCTTCCCCCACCCACTGGTATTTCAAAGATATAATACCTGTAAAAACAGCATGGACTTCCTGCCAGACCCTCATCAACTTTGCCATGGTTTATGAAAAAATTCCTGTCTACTCCCCTCTTTTGGTTTCGCTTGTTGATGTTTTATTTGATTCGGAACATGAAAAAGAGAGTGAAAACTGCCTCCGTGTCCACTGTTGTTTTGAGACCGGTCCGCCTTCCCTCATCCCAACTATGCATGGATTCCGGAGTCCCAGTAGTAGCCACCTTCCGTGGTGAAAGCCAAAGCTGCCAGCCTTAATTCACACAGTGGCTCTCCACCCCCATCATCCCCTTCGACTACAGTCATGTTCCACAGCAGTTTTGCTAGCAAGCCCTTGTCCTAAACACTGGAACATAAAGCCAGTCACCACAGTGAAGACCAATGCCTCTCAACACTCAATGGATGGCCTTACTGCTCGGTTGTTTTTTGTAAAACGCCCGGTTGTTCCCTGTCGCTGGGCTTGTCTCACACAGTGTCCTCTGTCCTTGTCCTGTGTGTCTATTTACACTAATTTGAGTGAGTGCCACTCATGTTGTAAAGTGAGAAAAAGCGGCGTTTAACTGGAGTATTCTCCCTTCCACCCCCAGGCGGTAAAAATGATAACATGGAAGCGGGCCGAGAGTGAAAATAAGCAGCCGCTGTGACCGTAGCGTGTTTTACCACACCAGGGAGAGCAGGTCAGCCACAGGGAAGCGTGGGGGCCCTTTCAAACAGGCTCGACCACATTTGATCACATGGATGAAGGCTAAAACCCCTGGGCATGGAAATGATGGAGGGGAGGACGCGGCCATACGCAGCAGATCAGGGCCCCTGTGCAGGCTTGTGTACTCTGTCCTCATCACAACAACCACGGCCAGCTGATACACGCAGTGTTGAGGAGAGCGGCACTTACAATGCCACCAGCTCGCGTGAAAACACCAAAAACATTGCTTTGTGACTGCCAGTGCAAGTGGGAACTACAGAATAGCGTCTCCATTTTTATTTGCAGCTAGCAAACCAGCTGACTCTCCGCACCATCAGGTGTCTTGTCCCCCCAACAACATTTTTCACATTATCTGCCCTAGTTGGCCTTAATTTTTAACCATCGCTTACAACAAGAGGTCAGCTGGTGGGATTCCATTTTTTTAAACTCCCAGAAATGTCGGCGCAAGAACAGCCGAGTCATTTTAGGAGAAGTCAATTTTCAGTGAAAAACAGGATGGAGCTCCCATCCCAGTTTCTAATTCAGCGGGTCGGGGCAAGAACAGACTGGTCCGAATCTTATTTATATTTATCACTGTATGTTATTATAGTGTATGTAATTCTCTACAGTTTTAATTATTTTCTATATAGTCTGAGTTGATTGCTTCTATTTTCCTCCAGAAATGAGCTTTAAGATTAATCTTGAGTATGATTTGTGTGGACCATCCTTCCTGTCCATTAAAACAGCCCAAGTATTTTATATTATATCGAATATTTTTGTCCTTTATTCCGCTTTTCTGTCTTGTTTGGTCATCTTAAGCTCGTATTTTTATCATTAAGAGCTCCATCAGAATAGGTTTCGGTTTGTTTTTTATGTTGTTTGTTTTTTATTAACTACTTTTGTTGTCCCCCCAAACCCCTGATCCTGTTACCGACTTTGCCGCTAAGATCAGGCGTGTCAACCCCCAAAAAAACACAGGGGCAATAATTTAAAAACCTGAAACAAAGCCGCGGGCCCCAAGATTGAACAAATGAACCTTTTAATACGGAACGAAGAACGAATTTTGCTTTAACATGTGAATAGACACAAGCAACTCCTTATTACAATTATATATAGACTAAATAGTGGAGACATGCAAAATCAAAAATTTTCAAAATAAAAAACACATCCCAATCGGCAATTCATTTATGAAAAAAATTTTAAAACATTTTCTAATCGCAGCCTTCCTGAATTAAATATCAAAATAAAAAATTGTTGTTGGGGTGTTTCCGTTTCATAGTGTCGTCTAATGTTGTACTAACTTTGTAACGGCCACAGTTGACCCACAAACAAGACAATACGGGCCTCGTCCTTTTACCATAGCGTAAATAGATAAGGAGTTCTCGCCTCCCCAACTGTCCAAGAAAGCTTCTGTTTTCTGCCTTTCTTTCGCCTTTTTGGGAAAGGGTAGGCACAGTGACCAGTTTGTAGTGTATCTACCTGTTCACCAAGAGCGAGTTTTCGGGGTCCTGTCACGTGATTGGAGCAGCCAAACACAATCAGGCAGGCGCATCTATGGGATTGTAGTATGAGTCGGTGTTAAGCGCTGTACAGTAATAATACGCGGGGCCAGCTCTCGTAGTCATTTGTATTCTGTCGTCGCCGGGCCAAAAGAAATTACAATTTGGCCCGCGGGCCAGCAGTTTGATCACCCCTGGCATGTTTTTGAGTTTGACACCCCTGATCTAGGGCAAAGATCTGGAGTAACAGGACTCAGGGGTTGGGGGACAAAGTGTTTAAAACCATATCACCACCGGCCTTTCTGATGAGCTTTATTATCGGCTGTGACCCAACAGCAGAGCAGCATAAAAGGAACCTACTTGTTTTTATCTGGGTGTTTTGGACAGAGGAGTTCCCACTCATATCAAGTAATCTAAGCTTCCTGAGGAAAATGAGCTCAACTCAGCCTTGTTGAATATACTGTAGGAGTTCTCCTTCATCCTCCGTGTATTTTAAGATCGGACAGTCTGTTCTTGCCGACCCTGAATTAGAACTGGGATGAGCTCCATCCTGTTTTTCCTAAAATTGACTTCTCCTAAAATGAACTCGCTGTTCTTGCCAACATTGAGGTTAAAAAAAATGGAATCACACCAGCTGACCTCTCTTTTGTAAGCCGTGGTTAAATAAGGCAACTAGGGCAGAATAATGTGGAAAAATGTTGTGGGGGGGACAAGACACCTGATTGTGCCGAGAGTCAGCTGTTTGTAGTGCAAATAAAAATGGAGACGCTATCTTAGTTTCCCCACTTGCACTGCAGTCACAACAGCAATGTTTTGGTGTTTTCACCGCGAGCTGTGGCATTGTTAAGTGCTCGCTCTCTCACACTGCGTGTATCAGCTCTGCCGTGTTGTTGTGATGAGGACAGAGTACACACAGCCTGCACAGGCCCTGATCTGCTGGTATGCCGGTCCCGCCCCTCCATCATTCCATGGCACCAGGGGTTTTAGCCTTCATCCATGTGATCAATAGTGTCGAGCCCTGTTTGAAAGCCCCCCACGCTTCCCTGTGGCTGACCTGCTCTCCCTCGCTGTGGTAAACACAGCTACGTCACAGCAGCTGCTTATTTTCACTCTCGCCCGCTTCCATGTATCATTTTCCGCTGGGGTGGAAGGAGAAACTCCAGTAAAACGCCGCTTTTTTCACTTTAAAACATGAGTGAGCACTCACTCAAATTAGTGTAAATAGACACACAGACAAGAGAGGACACTGTGATGAGACAAAGCCCAGCACAGAACAAGGGGGCGTTGACAAAAAACAACCGAGCAGTTAAAAGGCATCCATTGAGTGTTGAGAGGCATTGTCTTCACTGTGTGACTGGCTTTATGTTCAGTGTTTAGACAAGGGCTTGCTAAGCAAACTCTGGAACATACTGTAGTGAAGGGATGATGGGTGGGAGAGCCATCTGTGTGAATAAGGTGCAGCTTTGGAGCTTTCACCACAAGGTGGCACTACTGGGACTCAAATCCATGCATAGTGGATGAGGGAAGGCGGACCCGTCTCACAAACAACAGTGACACGAGGCAGTTTTTCACTCTCTTTTCATGTCCGAATCAAATAAAACATCAAAAGGAACAAAAGAGGGGAGTCAGACAGGAATTTTTCAATAAACCATGCAAAGTTGATGGACAGAGTCTGGCAGGAAGTCCATGCTGTTTCTACAGGATTTATCTTTGTGAGATACAGTGGTGGGAAGGTGAGGTTTTTTTGTTTGAGACTCGTGTCCTACCCCAAGGTTCCAGCGGGACAGGACAGTTTCTGGACTGGACTGGTGGTTATGCTGCAGGTACAAGTAAACACGGTGTTTATCGACAGAGTGGAGCTCCAACTGGTTCTCATTTTTACTAAAAAAAGCTCAGAGCACAAACTTAAAATGTTTGCTCCAAGTGTCCAGCTGCACTTTATTAGCCATCCCTTCTTCTACTGTATGTTTTAAACTGAGAAAACATGTTTCTTTTTTTAAGACAGAGATTCAGGATGTCTGTCATCATCTGCCAAAGCAAACGGCCTAATAAGTGTAACAAGGTTTTCATTTCATTTCATCACTGAATTGAATCCCATTCATTACCTAAGAAAATAAATTGCAGTTGAGATAACTGCATCAAACCTGTAGAACTTGTATCTCTCGTATCTTAACGTGTGCAAGAACGTAGAGTGGGAGGGAGGGAAGGGAGGGAGGGAGGGAGCTGCGGTCGAGTAAGCTACCAGTGAATAAGGGAAGAAAGCCAATGAACAAAATAAATAAATTAAACTTAATCTGCTGATAGTTTCATGGCAGCCACATTCTAAAACACAAATAAATACCCTCACAACTTCATCTCATTTTTCTTTTAGAGACATACATCACTAAATACAAAGAATAACAGAATCCCTCTGTTATTGTGTAAATGTTTAAAATGTGGGGGTTTATTTTTTCTGAGTGTAGTTCCTCTGGTAACTTTTTGGTTAAAAAGGGCAAATAATGTCCAATCCATATTAACTGAACATCGCTCATGTCTTTATTTGACAACCGACTGGGAATGAGAAACCAGCGTTTGGTTTGTCCGTTCTGGGACATGGCGGTTCAACATTGTGGACTTCGTGGAAGGTGACCCACGTCGTCTGTAGATAAAAATGGCTCATTCTAAGGTAACAAAAACAGAATGATTCCTATATTCAGGTGATTAAACACTAGTGAAAACATACCTATGAATATTATATTCCATCTCTGCCAATAGATCCTCCTAAAAGTTAAACACTGGACTTTTACAGGGAAACTTTGCCGATTTTGAACCAGCTCTGTATCATTACAATGTGGCTAGTATATACAAATGGACCAGTTTAACTTTAACCCTCCATGTTGCCTGCACCCAGAGCTCATGTGCCAGAAGAAGTCTGCCAGATGACCCACTTCTTCGACTGTCTGTGAAGGCTGGCTTACAAAAAATTGTGGAAGTACAATCTGTGGGCGTTGTGGACTGAGGCTGTAAATTAGATTCTCTCTGCTTACTCCCATCACCCCGGTGAGGTGACAGCCGGATTCGGTTACCTCAAAGTTCTGCTCTATGAGATTCCCTCCTTTGCTCAGGCTCTCCATGATGGCTTTGTTCCTCAAGATGTCCTCCTCGCTCAGATGCTCCCGTCTCTTCCTGGACTCGAGCACCAGGCCGTTAACAGAGTAGAAATCTGCCAGAAAGTTTCCCACGCGTTCCTGGAGGTAGAAGAAACAGTTAGAGAAGTGCCCCTCCTGCTGAGTCACCAATTTCCCTTTTAAATACATGTCAAAAAGACAAAGGAGTGAGAGGACAGACAGCAATACCCACATAACTCATTGACTGCATTCATGCCCCCTGTCCTGTCTCTGTTGTTTTTAACTCTGAGCCTATCACCTGTGGTTCCTTACTCGGGTTATCACTGATGCTTCTTTGATTTATGTCTTTCCTGCCTGGTATGGGAGATGTAGCGCAGGGAAAGAGTCTATAGCAATATATATATATAATATAATTCATATTTTGACAGAGGAAGGCTCACAGGGTGAGATAACAAGAAAGCTTGGAGAGGCAGATTAACAGATCAGGCTAATAACATAATGCCGACAGAATTGATTTGCCCGAAAAGATGTCAAACTATTTCTAATGTATCTGCAATGCTTATCTGCATTATTGCTTTTACAGTAAAGTAAAACTAAAAAGTCAGAGTACAAGGATCCATATCTTTCTCCTTCTGTGGTTTTCCATTAGAGAGCACATCCAGAGCACTTCCCAGACCTTAAAATATTGTCTACCCTTTTAGTTTGTTCATGTTGTTTTTCAGGTCAGAAACGTTTTCTACAGTCTGGGTTCCTTTAGAGCAGCTGAAAACCATCATATATTACACAAAGTACATTCTGATATACATCTGTTTACTGACCCCTGTGCATTGTCTATTATCAATTTCCTGTCTTCCCCTGAGAATTTATCAAATTCCCAACTTTCTGTCTGGGTCAAGCTACTAAAAATTCCACAGCCAGGTGAAACGCTGTGACCCACAGCTGACTCTTGGAAGAGCTGTGTGACGGGAGAAATAACATCATGATGGGAACAACCACAAGACAGCTACGACAGCTGACACCAACCGTCTTGTCTTCTCGGAACAGCCAGCCTGTCTGCGCCCTGGAGAAGGTGATGGACTTGGTGGAGAGCGTGGCAGAGTACACGTCGCTGCTCATCAGAATATCCACTTCCTCCTCTGTCTCCATCTCCGACTCCTGAAAGTACAGGACAGCGTTAGGAAACTACAACACAGGCATGGACACTGCTAAATGCTAATGAGGCTAACAAGCTGTTTAACATATTAAAACAATTAATCAACAAATCAATAACAAAAGATTAGTAGATTTACAAAAGAAAAACTGCCACTAGTTTGATAATCAATTAATCTTTTGAACATTTGTTGGTTCCAGTTTCTCAAACGTGAGCATTTTTCTTTGTGACAAGGTGATCATTTTTAGCTTTGAACTATTAGTTGGACAAAACAAGATATTTGAAGATAGATCTGGATATCTGGCGAAATATGAAGTCAATTTGTCCATATTTTCTGACATTTTGTGTAAAAAAAACCAGTAAATCCAGAAAATACTTGTCAGGTGATGAAAATAACTGTCAAAAACATCAGGGGGAGCAAATGAGGCCTTCTATCTGCATGTGTCTCACACACCTCATGATGTATCCGCTGGTAGACTTTCTGTTCGTTGTCCAGCACGACAAAAGACTCAGAGGGGATGGCATTGCCATTGAAGATGAAACTGAGGTCGCCGCGCTGACACTTCATGTCCGTGAAATCTATCAGGGTAGTGTCCAATCTACACACACACACACACACACACAAACAGACAGAGAGAGAGTAGGTTTAGTGTGGAAACTTGATGAAAGGAGAGGACAGCCAAACAAGAAAAGGAGCTGAACTGAGTTTAACTTTGACCACACTAGCAAACACAGTGTCAAAAAAAACTGTGACGGATGTCACATCTTCGCTCTGAGAGTCTAGACAATGTGTATGGTAATCATTGCCATGGGAGACCAACAGCACATTTCAAGAACTGTTTTACTTTGTCAAAGTGTGTAGTCCTGGAATGAGGCATGACAGCAAAGAGAATAACTGATCTGCTTGTGAAAAGCAGACACAAAGTGGTAGGTGCTGTGGGTAGGTATGACAGGCCTTGGCACACTGTACAACTAGAATGTAAATGAACCTGCTGTGACAGTTTATTTTCTTTCTCCCTCTTTTTTCCCTGCAACTCCAGGATAATAAGAGGGCATTTTGAATACCAAATGAGACAGCCAGGAGCAGTTTCAGAGAGTAATGACAAGCTCTACATCAAGGATATCTCATACAGGAACAGCACACAGACACACAAACACACTCTTTTATGAGTTCATTCTTCAAATACAGTTTTAGTTGATGTTGTGATACCCAAATATGAGAGCTGCCCTGGTTTACATAACATATCACCCAGTAATTAAATTCAAATGTGTAGATGTGCACTAGCTGTGAGAGCTGTGAGAGCTGAACCTCAAGGCTGTTCAACACTGCCAGGTTTTTGTCCACAAACGCACGGCCATGAAACACAGCAACGTGGATTCCTGCTGTAGATTCATTGTTGTGACTGTGTGTCAGCATGCGTCAGAGTGTGACGAATTTCTGCTGACGCCCTTTGTAAGTGAGCTAAAGGCAGCGCATTACACACCACTGTAACTCCACTTCTGCAAGGCACTGAGTGAAAAGGAAACACAGAAGTAAAGAGATCTGCGCGCAGAGGCATCGCCGTTCTGCTTCCTTATACTGCGAGGCACTGATTTCACACTCTAGTTAACCAAACTAGGTTGAGAGGAGAAAATGGGAGGTAGAGAGAGGAGAAAGAGGAGAGGTTGTAATGTGCAAACAAGATGACTGATAAATTACCGAGCATTAAAAGCAATAAAGTGCCTTAATAAAAAAAAAAAAAGTTTTCTCGAGGAATTACAGTTGAAGGTTATGTTTTTCCATAAAGTGGCGTTCCTGTCGCAAGGCAGCTGCTTTTCTTTGTCGTCACCCATCACACATTTGATTTAAATGCATTACATTTGATGACAGGACTTGCCTGATGTTGAGGCCCTGCTTGTAGATCTTACACGCATCTGAAGGCAGGATTCTGGAGAGCAAAGGCACTGCAACGTAAAAAAGACACAGTAAGGACATGTGAAGTCTAAATTTAGAAAAGCTCACTCAATAATGAAGACCACCATCCTCTTCAAAGCCTCAGCAGCATATAGTTCTGTAGACTAGAGGGCCATATAACGTGTAGTTCTGTCGCTAAATATTTAATAACTTGCAGTCCTAAGTAACTGAAAGCAAGAAACCTCCCTGCTGTTCATTGCACAAAACCTAGGCATTTTAAAAGTTCAAAATAGTTCTGTGAAGGACTACATTGAAAAAGAAAAGTCTAAAAGTCTAGAAAAGACTAAACAGGTCTAAAGGGTACAAAGAGTACAAAGCCAGCTCTCAATCCCTCTGACAGTCTCGGATCCGTGAGACAGCGTTGGTCTAAACCAGATTCTTCTCTAACCACATACATCTTAACTTCTCTCACCTACAAATATAATATTTAGTCGACTGTCATCACACCAAAACATTTACTTTTACACCGTTCCCATCTGCAGATACACTGTTATGCAACCAGTTAATTGTATTTAGTTACCACCATGCTTTTATTACATAATCTTGCCCTCCTTGTCAATAATTCACAAAGATACAGTGAGTACACAGAATTCAGTCCTGGCTCACGCTTAGTCAGCTCACACACTGTGCAGCCTGAACAAATGCTAGTACAGCAGTGGATACAGTTATATTAGTCTACTGTCACAAAGTAAATGTAATCTGCATTCTGTAACAGTTTTCCAGGTGGAATTATGTGTTGAAATCGGTGCAACTGGATAACAAATTCTGCTTCTGGTACCAGCAGATATTCCTGACATAGCTTTATAGAGAGGGGCATTGACAGTAGAGGATGGTGTGTGAGTTCATGTCCAGCAGGAGGAGTCATTTTCAGCCTGTAGCCACTCTCAACAGTTAAAGTCCCTTATGGCACAGATAAACACTACACTAACCAGACAGACACTGACAGACTGCATCACATTTTCCTGCCTGTAACACATTCCTCCGTTGGTGTTTCAGACAACACCCTTACCAAGGACACATGGTTCATTTCCAGAGTGGATAAAGCCCGAGAAACAATGGTGTTTCTGTCAAGCTCTCTATCGTAAAAGATTGAAGAAGCTGCTGCTTGACTCACCCCAACTTTGGAAGTCCCAGTGAAGCTCCAAATAAAAGTCTCCAAGCTGCAAAACAAGACAGAGAAATCACAATCACATGTAAAACTACACGAAGAGGAAAAGGTGGGAAAGGTGGAAGCAGGGCTATTCATGATATATAAACCTATATATTTGTTAGTAGCTAAAAAGTGGGGTTTGCTTATTTATGTGCATGCAACAAAAACTGAAAAACAACAAATTAGACCAATTTAACAAACAATAAACAGGACATCTTTTCTGAATAGAAATCAAAATGGCATGCCGAAGCCTTTCTGATCACATGGACCAGAGTAAACATGAGCCTTTATGTCCATCCATAACAAATCACGCCTGACTGACACAACTCAATGCAGCCTAATTATCCTGTGAGGTACTAGAATGGGTTGAACTGATCCCATCACCACCGCCGCTGGTGGTCTCAATCTGGCATTCGGTGATGATGTCAGGCTGGCGGGAGATCATCATTTCCCAGAGCTATATAATCTCTGAGAGACGATGACGCAGAAAAATCTCATCTCTGGCAATCTCTGCCTCATCACCCAGGAAAGTATTGCATCCTGTCATGTAAAATACAGGCTCGCCTGAGTGTCGAGCAACATGTACATACATCAAAATCTGGTGTTTACATTTAGACTGATGATGGGATTCCACTGAAAAAGGCCTACGCTACACTGACCTCTTTAAATGGAGTTAAAAACCCACAGGGTTTTAGATAGTTGGCCTCTTTTGCTCTTGTTTTTGCAAATCTGCTTACTTGCTTCCTGATTCTCTTGCAGGGGGCGGCATTGCTGCATAGCTGACCTGGAGGCTAAAATCGCCAGATGATTACGCCTACAAGTTTGGCCTCCGTAACGTCATGTTAGGCAGACGGAAGAATACAGAAAGGCTCCTTGCAGATATACATGTCGGCCTGGTCATGACTAAATGTTTACAGCGTTGTATGTGTGAGATTATGTCAGGCAAACAGCCACAACAAACCCTGAAAGATAATTTTGAACAGCACGTCTGTTAGTAGTTACATGTTTACGGTGTGTGTGTGTGTGTGTGTGTGTGTGTGTACACATGTGACCAGGAAGCCACAAACGCACTGTGAGGTTTCATTTAGCCTTAAAGACCACATCCTATACTGCTGGTTGATAATGTGTGTGTCCGTCCCTCCTGGCTTTGCTTTGTTGCGATGACAGTAATTTGCGAATGACAAACTTGGCTGATGTCTGGGAAGGATGATTGCGTATGAGTGCGTGTGTATTTTGTATCTGATGAGCAGAAGACAAAAACAGCATCAAGACATTAGGGGCATCCTATTAGAGAGACCAGAGCAGGAAACTGAGTAAGGACTCCTTACTTCCTTCAGGGCTTTCAGCAGCTTGGGCCTCTTGTCCTCCACAGTCTCCCTGGACTGTTGCTTTAGCTTCCTCAGCAGCGCTGTGACTGAAAAATGCAGAGAAACAAAACAAGAAAGAGAAAGGAAGAGCATCAACAATCAGGTTGCTTTTGGTTGCATAGAAAACAGCAATGGCTCAAGAGCTTTTTCCAAACATTAAATTTCTAAAAAGTTTATTGGAGAAGTGTTTTGTTCCCACATTGGCTGTGAATTTCCTTCAAACAACCTTTTGCTCAAAAACTAATTTCTCCACGACGTTGCTCTTGTTTTGGCAAACCGTCTCTACAGTACATGGCATGAAAGCCAGATTCTTCCTAATCATTATTAGTTGGCCCAGAAAAAAAAACTTTTTAAAATATGGGGGCTTCTTTGAAGCATTGAACCTTTCTTGCTGCTCTCTTCCATAAGGAGCTTCTTGGAGAGCATCTGCTTCATGAGTGCATTGCAGCAAGTCCTCACTCATTTCAAGGCTGCTTTTAAATGTATAAGAGTACATATATTGTCTGTAAATCACCACCACTGTCTTAGCAACTGACTCACTCATGCATATCCTGTCAACGATGAGACATGCTGAAGGCAAAGATCATGCAGTTTACACTAAGGATGGCCTTTGGTTCAGAGATATGCTGACTTCCTGGGCCCAGATGGGACACTCCTATCAGCATCGAGCCGATCCCTGCAAGTCGCCTGCAGGGATCAAAACGTTCCAGGAAGTTCAAAGGGAACAAGACTGGCAGATATGGTGCTGTCTGCTAATGAGCTGTGCTTTACCCGCTTTAATGACCTGGGGGAGAGACATAGTCACAGGAGACTTTCAACCATGACGGGCCAGATTACCGAGCATTCACAGCTCTTTAGCCCGTTAGCTGCAGGAGATTTTATTGTTTATGAAAAATAAAACAGACTGAATGAAAAAGGATCCACACCCAGCTAGCAAACAGTTATTTAAATGTTCTTTGCTGTTCATAACACGAGTGGGAGCATCGGTTACTCACTGACATAATTGTGGTGCTCTGATGAAGCCAGGAGGGGATCAAATGACGACATGACTGTGCCACTTACAAACGAACAGAAACAGTAATAAAAAAAAGAAGAGACAGGTTGGCTTGTGACTCGCACACTAACCTACATTTTAATAGGGCTAAAAGCAATAGTGGACATGTGGTACGATCATTAGCTTAACTAGCTCCTGTGCTTCATGTGGTGAGTCAACATACACAAACATGTTGTTCATATTGTCTTACTGCTGCTCCCTATGAGGCACCACAGAGTGGGCGGAGGGCTCGATGCAAAAATGAGGCCAAATGAGAGCACAGGCATGCATACACACATACACACACACACACTGATGCACATGAGGACACACACGAATTGACACAGACACACAAGTACAGGACGAGGGTGTCTTTGTGGCCCTGGCTGCCTAATGAGTGTGGACAAGCGCTGGATGGGGCTCCTCCTGATCCTCGCCGCCTCTCAGCGGGACAAGGGAAGGACTACAGTCTCACCATCTGCCCACAGACCACCCAACCAACACAGGGCGAGAAACCAATGTGGAGTGCTTTAACACGAACCCAAACTGACTCTCCATGCTGGCGCTAATTCACCCAGATACTGATTAGGGCACTTTCCTGGCATTAATTAGATGAGTGATCTCAGTAATTTCACCTCCACACGTTGATGAAAAGCGACAGAGTCAGGACAAGTTTGCATTTTCATCACCACAAACTGCTACTATTTACCAATTAGGCCTCGGACCTGACTGGACGAGTGCAGCTGGCAGGTCTCCAGGAATATGAGAACAGTCAATATTAACACAGGTACGCTGCGAGCCACTGTGTGGTGGAGCAAAGCAGGCAGGCTATCTGAATATAGTTTCAAATGTTCAAACTTACTGAGGCGGGGTCAATTCATTTTACAACACATCTAAAAAGACTAAAAACGGCCACATTAACTAAAGATAACACATGCAGGGTGGAAGCTGTTAATGTTTGATTAGAAATTACAAGGCTGCTTCAAGAAAGTATGCATAAATGTAGTGGGGAGGAAAAAAGATTTTAGGTAAGCTTGAGGAATGAGGATCTGGCCTGTTCAGACATTATCATTATAACAAATGACTGATGTCAGCTACTATCCTTTAACACAGAGCACAACTTGATTTAATATTTGGTTTTTGTCATTTGGTCAGAAGTGTTTCTGTGTTTGTGTTCACTTTACTATCAAACCTACAGTATTTGACTGTAGGTCTAATACTAGAAATATAGAGGACTTCAAATGTTGGCTGTTTACTAGCCAAACTGGCTAAAAGTAGACAAACTGATGAGACATGTTCAAAATCTACTGTGTTGGTCAGTGGGTGGTGATGATTTCCCACAGTATAATGTTCCACCTGGCCTAACCTCAATGCCCTTCCAGAAAAAAAAACATAAAAATAAGAAAATTTTATTTTGGAAATCATATGAGGGCCATGCTTCCCCCCCATGGTCTTTGAAGTGACAATTTCTTTGATACTTTACAGAAGTAGCACAGTGTTAAAAAAACAGGCTAAACATGTCAATCAGAGACATCTGACCTATTTTTATCACTTGATCTTGTAAATCTATAATATGGTCCAACGTGCTTTAAATTGAGAGTGAGTAAGGCAAGAAACACTGAAAGCAAAGCAAGCAGTTTCCCAGCTTATAAACACTGACTGTGGCAACTTCTGCTTCTGATGCTGACAACACAGCTGTTTGTGGAAGGCAACTGAGGACAGAAATAGCTCTTATTAAACAAAACACATGACAAAATCTATTTCTGAGCCACATTTTTCCTCCTTGTTCAAATGGAAAGTGACAACAAATGTGTTTTACATCAATGGAAATGAGTCATTTTCTAAAAATAAAACAACAAGAGCGCAGAGTTGTGAATTTTTAAATTAATCTCATTCAAAAAAAAGTTTGCTTATAAAAATGTATCTGACAATACCTACGGAGAACTACTGAAATGCAGACGCCTATATAACCAGATCAAGATTGTGTTACCAGTTTTGAAGACTTTTTAAGCTGGGATGTTTGCCTTACTATAAATCAAACAAACAAAGCTTTCTACTACCCACAGACTGACGCTGACTCAGCTCATACTGAATAACTGCTAGGCAGGTCCTGCCTGTACAGGAGTCAACATTTATTGCACTGAATAGGTATAGTCACAGCAGTAGTTTCCTTAAGCACCCTTTGTCCTTTAATTTCATCATGGCAGCCAGAAAAACTTTTTGTATGGAGGGCTAAGTGTGCTGTGCAGACTCAGCCATTTGTAGCTGAGCTGTCACAACGGAGGCCGTGCTCTGTACTTTGGAGTGACATTAAAAGAGGCAAGAAGGTTTAAACAACTACAGAGTTTATGCTTCAGTGCAACAGAAGCTGCAGCCCACTCATGTCAGATGATTCAGGTGATCAGCAGACTTGACCTATTGTACCTGTCTGCCAGCAGGTCGAGCCTGTACCTGTCTAGTGATGTCCTGAATCAGCAGACAAATACAGCCCTGACCACTAAGCTCTCTGGCCTACAAACTCCTCTCCCTGGCTCAGATCCAGGAGAAGCGGGTATATTCCTGGGCTCTTTTACAGAATGCCATTCAATAAAAGTATTTGAATCACTCTTTGTCGGTTCCCTCACCTGGCGCACATTTGCCTTAAAGTGTCCAGATTGAAAGCTGCTATGACGATGAAAAGAATAAATTTAAAAAGAGAGCGTTTAGCTGATTGTCATCCCTGCAATTAATTAACTTCCATGTTCATACTTTTATAACTTTTTACTTAAACTCTATAATCATAGATAGATAGATAGATAGATAGATAGATATCTATATCTATAGAGATATAGAGATATATATCTATATATCTATATATCTATATCTATAGAGATATAGAGATATAGATATATATCTCTATATATCTATATATCTATATATAGATAGATAGATAGATGATGTGTTAATTGAAATTTAGTTTGAAGAATAAAAACAAAAACACATCCTTCAGTTTACAAACGTTTAATGTAAAAGACAAAAACAACACAGGATTTGGTGACATGAGGGGGAAAAAATGAATTATTTTGCTCATTTGTCTTTCTCCTTCTGCTCCTTTTCCTTTTTGTCCTTCTCAGTCTTGGCCTCCTCAGCTTCGTGCCTCTTGATGAGCTCCTCCACTTCTTTCTGTTTCAGCACTTTGATTTTTGTCTTGCCGCCTTCCCGTGTCAGAGTGGCAATTTCCACTGAAACCATCAAATCAAAATTGTATAAAATCAGATGCACTTAAAAAAATCTTTTGCATCATCAGTAAACAAATTCTGTTATAGTACATCTAGAAGTTCTAAGAGTTGAGAGCCGTTACAAACTTATTTTCATTTCACACAAATCAAATCATAATATGCAAGGAAAACGTCGAGAAAGTCCTTCTGAACCTTACCTTTCTCTGCTGAGAGCTTGCTCACATCCATTGTTTTGTTGAGGACTTTAACAGCCAAAGCCAAAGCAGAGGACAGAGTCATCTCTCCCTCTTTGAAATCCTGCTTCAACATGGACACTGCAGCCTGAGGACAACAAATCACACATCAAACACCATACAGGGGGAAGAGAACAGTAACAATAAACCATCATATATGGATACATTTACTGATTTGACCTCTAAATTGTCACCAAACGTTGCAGAATATACATTAGCATAAACATCCAACCCAAAAAACATCAGACAAACATCAGGCAACTCTTAAGAAAAGAAAATGTTCACATTCAGGATCTATATGACCCTGCCTGGTGTATCTGTTGAGATCATCTCACTGGTTGTCATTATCTGTGCCATGTCAGACTTACAGCGCTGTTGTTGCCAATACAGGTTGCCTTCCAGCCTCCATAGTTGCCGCTGGGGTCACTCTGGTACAGCTGGAAGCCATAGTGTTTGTCCCAGCCCATGTACAGCAGAGAAACACCAAACGGCCTCTTACCTGTCAAAACAAACCACACAGCTGTTACAGAAAGAAGAGCCATCTGTGTTTTTACACAGTGATGAGAATACTCTGGCTATTTTCTACTAGGTTGTTTACCAATAGGACATTTGATTAAGTGCTTTTGGCAGATGTCTCTGAACATGCACGCTGAAAATGTTAAAACCGACAATCTGTTGATCCCAAAGGAGAGGAGCAACAAACCAGAGGAGGAGAATACAGTTCGTCTTACCTCCAAACTGTGTGTACGCCTGCTTGATGTCACACAGGGCTGTCACCAGCTGCTCACAGGGTATTGGCTCCTGGTACTGCAATAAATATCTGAAGAGACATTAAACTGGTCAGTGCTTTGTGATGAATGGGATTAGTGGGTGGAAACTGAAGCACAAATTCAGATTACAGTTCCAACAAAAATGCTTTTTTGGGTTATTCGATTAATAAAAAGTTGAGAAATGATACTACATTGTTTTCACTTTGCTTTCAGTTGCTATTAAATATCTTAAGGAAAGAAGTTAGTGTATTCATTATTCTTCACCTTAAACTTATATTTTCACATATACTGCTATTGGCTAACACATTAAAAACAAAAGAACCTGTGTGTAAAATATTCTGAGCATCCGCAATCTAGAAGAGGTTTTTGGGACAGCCCTAAAATGTTAATGTTTGGAAGGTTTTCCTCTGAAAACTCACCTCTGTGCAATAAGCCGCAGCTCGTTTGTCAGTACATTAGCATCTGATGTGATCCCAGCAACACTGCAGGCCAAGTCTCTGAAAAAGGACACACACACACACACACACACACACACACACACCACAGTACAACGTCAGCCAGAAAAAACGGGATGACTGAGGTTTTTAATGGTGAGAACGGGTCAAGTATTGGGTGCTGAAGAGTCCATCTGTAGTTCACTTCACTCACTCATTGAGCTTGTAGATCTTTTCAGAGAAGAAAACCTCGTCGAGAAGTTTGTGGATGTTGCGTCTCTCTGCTGCCAACAGCACTCCGTCATTTGCTAGAATCCCCAGACATGTTCCAGCGTGACCGATCGCTTCCATCGCATACTCCACCTGATACAGGCGTCCTGTTAAACACAGTCAGAGGTTATATGATAGAAACAACTAAAATCTTACACTCAATTTAATCTATTCGACTTCCCAGACCCTCAAATTCATGGAAAAGCACTTTTAAGCCCACAGAACTGTAAATTTGAGTCAAGACTTAGTATCTTTGACACAAAAACTCACCTAATATTAGGTGTACAATGCAGTACAATAATATATTGAATATCAAATGTATGGGGTTAGCTGAGTGTGTCAATGGAGAGGACGTACGAGTGTTTCAATATAATGTGATGGTGTGGACAATAACAGGCATCTTGGACCACATAATTTCAGTCAATGTCATTTTGTGCTTAAAAAGAAATGAGACTTACCCTCAGGGGAAAATATGGTCGTTCGGGAATCATATCTACGAGACTAAACAAAGAAAATGCAGGTATTTAACAAAAAACAGGACTTGAAAACAAGTACTAACTCATTTCCAACATGCATAAAGATACATTTGTGACCAGCACAACAGCTACCTACCATTTCTCCTCGTCACTGAAACCTGCAAAATATAAAACCGCAGTTATGAGATGAAGAAACCAGCAGAAACAGTGAGGAGAGGAGAAAATGTCTCAGCCTGTTTGCACTGACACCAGAGTTCATTTCACACGCAAAAGAAAACAAATATCTCCTTCACAACAAAACCTGAAACACAAAACTGCTGAGCAACTCTCTCATGAGTGATCCGCACACTTGTTAACTCAACAAAAAGTTGCGCAGTCGTTTACAATCCACTTTTACCTCTGACACATGACAGCTAAGCTAAGCTAACCAACACAATGAATCTGCAATATCCGATGCTAGTTCGTTAGCCTGTAGCTCGCATATAACGAATTAAGTCCTCAAACTGCACTTAAACCGTAAAGCCGCGGTGGAATAAAACGATGCCGTAGTAAAACGTCAGGTATTGTACGTGTTACCTTGTGAAAACGGTGTAAAAGTTTGAGTCGTTTTCACACAAGTTAGACGAGGTTCGCCACTTTCTGTTTGACGCTTCCTCGCTCCGACCGGCGGACTGTGACGGTGCAGTGGCCGCTCAGCAGCGCCACCTGCCG